AAAAGTCATTTCAAATTGGCTCTTAGGATGCATTTTAATTGCCAAAATTTTTCATAAAAAATGTATTTTTTCTATCCAAATTTCTACTTTTGTGTTATTTAATTGTCATTTTCTTCGTGGAAAACATTTTTTTATTTTGGTCACATGATCATATTTTCCTCAAAATCAAGAAAAATATTTTCTTCAGAAGGAGTAAGATTTTATTTTTCAGAAAATTCACTCTCTTTCTCTTATCTACCCACAAATAAAAATTGAATAATTATAATATTTTTTAGGTTGAAAATTAAATCAATCAAACACATTTAATTAACAAATTTCATGCAAATAAATTACCTAGAATTTCTTTTCTTTCTATGCAAATTTTATGCTTGCAATCAAATACGTCGTTAGGTTCTTTAAGTAGGACATATTGAGACATCACATGTCAATTTCCATCATTAAGCCCTTGTTTGAGCCCATTCTTTTGAAAAAAATCATTTTTTCAACAGTGTTTTGATATCATTTCAACCACACATTATTCAATAAAATAATATTACACACAAATTCAAAATTTTTCCTTATTTTTCAACCACACATTTCCCATCAATACACTATTTAAAAATTCATTCTTCCCCAAAAAATAGGGCTCAAACAAGGGGTAAAAGGAAAAATCTATGTGACTAGATCATATGCTGACATGACTTAGCATTACATTAATTTTTTAATTTTGACTTATTTTTATATGTTCGAATTTTAATAGTACTTGTCATATAAAATTCTTAAATTGAGATAGTGTGTTTGAGAAATCGAATAAATAAAGTTTTTTTAATTAAACTAGAATATGCATTATTCGTATAAAATGACTCCCTTAATAGATATCATGAGGAACTAATAACATACTTCAAATTTATTTTTGTTAAGAGTTTAATTTAAGTAGGCCATATAGGACTAATATAATCGTGCAATTATATAAAATGTTGAAGGCTTAATTATTCTATCCTAAATCACAGCCGCTGGTGAAGGATTTCTCAGAAAGTTAAGGATTAATAATTTATTTTAGAAATTGAATGGATAAATTTTTAATCACATTAAATCATCTTAATTTCAATGCACCTATCTCTTTTTAATAATTAAGGTGGTAGCATAAATGTAAAAGAAAAAAAAATATGTAAAATTGCAATAAAATTGAATATTTTGAGAGAAACTGAGACAAGATATGTTAATTAATCAAAGATTGAAAATAAGAATTCAAAAAACCAAAATTTAAGAACGTAACCTTTATACGGAGCATGTATTGTTTATTTATAAACAAATCCTGGTGTAAATATAATTATCATTTTGTATTTCACCTACTTAAATTAAACTGAATTTATATATTAAATTAGTTGATACGATTATAAGGCCTCGACCGGCCTCTATCGTTGCCTTAAATGAGAGTTGTTTTGTAGGTCTATCATCTATATAAATAATAAAACAAATACATCGCCTTTCGGGGCATAACCTAGTGGTGCAAATGACAGAAATAAGGTAGTTTCAACCTTACTGATAGTCACAGTGTGAGGGTTCGATTCTTTATGGGCACCAGTGTACGGACAAACTATTGTTTCCTGGCCTATTGGGGCCAGAAAACAGTAGAGGTGCAAAGAACAGGAATGAGGTAGTCTCAACCTTGCTGACAGCTGCAGTGTGAGAGTTCAATTCTTTGTGGGCACAGTGTACAAGCAAACTATTGTTTCCTGGTCTATTGAGGCACATTCCGCGATTTACTTCCTTCACAATGCTCGAGGGGCGGGATGGTGGGGCCCTCAAGGATGGAGTTCTACCTTTCTTAATAAAACAAATACTTCAAGAAATTTAAAGATATTAGAATATTGAAGGATTTTTGTAGTCAATCTTATATAATTGCAAATTAGGATTGTTTTTGTGGGTAGAAACAAAAACCACATGTTTTTATCCCTTAAGAAATGTCTAACTAACAAAGGATTGTTTTTATTATAATTTTATTCGAATATTGACCATCTTCTTGTTATTTGAGTCTTCTCGTAAACATATATTATTCAACTTATATAGCAAAATATATATATATATTCTTATTAAAATTTGAGGTTAGGTATTACATATTTTTCATTTTTGTCTTCCATTTCATTGTTAATTTCGTATACAATTAGCCCCTGTTTTATTTTGCTAAAATTTAGAATTTCAATAAATTTTTATAAAAATTGATGAACTGTATAGTTGAAAAGCTGATAAAAATTGTAGACCCGATAAAAAGTATGATGAAAATCATTATTAATTTTGATTTAAATTTTTATTAATACTTTTAGCTAAAGCAAATAAAAATTTATTTTTTGACTAAAAAAGTATTGCTTTATTTTTGGTCTATTGCTTTCTTTTCTAACACATTCAATCTTCAGTCGACATCACACTACTCGTATAACACGAAAACCTCTTTAACTTGAAAGCATTTCCCAAATAATTGGGGAACAATAGCTGTCATTTATACCTAACTATATTAGAAAATCACGTCCCTCCTTTACGGCCTTTGTGGACACTTAAGAGCGGCAAGAAGAGATAATAAAATTCTTGGTATTTCTATTACTAGTTCATATTACTAATTGAATTCATCAAGGGCGAATTCAAGATCGGATTCCCATTTTCATTTTAAAAAATGAAAGCCAAACGAGGGCATAAAAGCATAATTGAAATGAGCTGAGACTGGCCCTGGACTCCCCTCTAGATCCGTCACTGGAGGTAATCAAGTATTAGAAAACACGATATACAGATTAATAATAGTGCACAAAATTATGACACTTGCCTTATTCTTCAAATGCCAAACACGTCAAAAAAAAAAAAAAAAAGAAAAAAGAAAAAAAGAAAGAAGACTTTTATCTATCCTCTAGCACATTATTAAATCAACTCATTCAAAATCTTTGACCGTTTTAAAAAGGAGTTATTTACATATATGTTTTTGTCACATATTTTGTCAAGTATAGCAATGATGACAGGATACATCGCCTAATAGAGTCAAATTCTCAGCTACACAATATTATCATAGGATTCTGCATTAGTCCACCATCGACTTTGTAGTCAAATATTGCATATAACAACGCTAGATTCTAACATTCTTGTCGCAATTTGAGCAGTATTCAAAGACGTATTTTATATAATATTTTAACTAACATTCTTATCGTATTTGTTCGATTTAAAATTTATTATTTTTATTGAAGATATTACTGTCTTACAAGAATTGGATCGATTAGTCTATTCAACTGGAAAAAAGAAAAAGAAAAAGAAAAAAAATCAATCCAATTACATTGCTCACCAAAAAGCAAGCCCAAAAATTTTCAGTACGTAAGGGGGAAAGATTCTACCAAAATTTTGACAGGAAAACTCGGAAAATGCTACGTGTACACAATAATATATACATAGCATTACACCCCCCTTACATGGAAGGGACCCACACACAATAAAATATTCTTGGAACCACCCTTTATGTGAGAGGGGTGTAACGTATTGTGTACAACATGAGGTGTATACATAGCATTTCCCATAAAACTCTTCAGTTAGTAATAAAAAAATACTTTATATTTTTTGAGGTCGATGCTTGAATCATTTAATTAATTTTATACCTTCGATTAGATCCTTGACATTTTATCTTCTTTTTTATCGCATCAATGTTTAGGCGGTGTTTAAAATATTGAACACTACGACTACGACTACGGCTACGACTACATTGTTTTATTTAAAGAGATTCTCGTTATTTTCATTGTTTATTTTTCTTGATGAGAATTTCGTAGCAAAACAAAAGAAAATTAAAAGTGAAGTTAGGTGAAAGTTTGTATTTGGGGGAGACAAGCAATTGAGTTTGGAACCTAACAGTAACAAGCAGAGAGCGAACCAAACAGCATCTCCCACGTACCAAATAATGTGTCCTCTACGGTCAAATGACGGTGCCAATCCGGGACACGTGTCGAGCCATGTCCATCCAGATTAGCCCTAGCATAAATATTGACCGTCCAAATAAAGACATCGTGATTCCAGTGTTAACATAAATAGTTATAGTTGACTTTTTGCTCCAATCCCAAGAAGCAAGCAATTCTATTCCTAAACCTAATTAAGCCTGATTTTAATTTAATCACGACATCTTCTTAACGTGGTACTTTGTCTAATTTAATGATAATTCGTCCAAGTGTCTTGAAGCACATAATAGATTAATTTAGCTTACTTATTCCATTTTAGTCGAATTGACTAGGTATTATATTTTTTTGTCAAGGATTCAAAGAGCTCCCTCACCTTTACGCCACCTTCATAAGAAAAGAAAAGTTTCGACATAATATAAAGTTAATGAAACAAGTTTACACGACTCAAGTGATATGTACACGTATTTAATGATTCTCCAAGAAAATTTGTTGCTCTAGCAAAAATCATTGAAGGGTTTCATCTATTTCAACATTTAAGGCTGGAAATTGATGTCGTATTCAATAAGTGGAATACATTATTCACTTGTTTTTGGTTGAAGGAGACACTCACATAAACTTGGAAGAATCATGCTACAAGTACATAATTTTTTGATAGAAAAACCTTATAAACAACATATGGAGCGATATTATTAGAAGATGGGAAAAAAGGAAAAGAAAAAATAATAGTCCACTTACATTTTGCCATATTAGCGTTAGTACAAGATCTGTTAAATTTTTCCTGTACTTATGATTTTATTGAACTTGGAAACTATATTAATAATAAGTCGATATATGGTTCAGTTAAAAATTTAAATTAAAATCAAGTCAAAGTCAATAATTAATTTAACAACATATTTTATAGAATGCACAACTTTTGAACCATATATTTCATCAAATTTTATTAAAATTTGATTTTTATTTAACAAAAATGTGCTAAATATGTATATTCTAAATAGTAAATACACAGAACAATTAATAGTTAAGGAGAAAATTAGTACTAATAGGTTGTTTAAATAAGGGTTTAGTGACGGACAATGACACCATTCTTGATTGTTTGCATTGTCAAACCTTCTTTACAAAATGGTGTCGGTAATTGCAATTCAAAGATGATAATTTCTCCCTTTGCTCGCAGTCTTCCACCTTAAAAATAAATAATAGACCTCAATCAAAATCAGCTTTCTTGTCAAAAGCTTAAATAAAGATACCTCAACAAGCAAATCTCTTATTCTTATTCCTACTCTTTCTTCTTTAATTATGTCTGAAGAATTCAGAGATCTTTACTACTACCACCAACGATTTCACGATGATGATCGGAATGGTGGCCAGAATTCTTCTACATATACTCAGAATCTACAAATGTTTAATCATTCTTCATACATGGGCTTTGGGGAGTTTTTGCATGGATCCACTGAACATAACACAGTTACAAGAGCTTTTGGCTTGACCCCGTCAACCTCCGAGGCACCGGTGATGGCCGGTGGAGATGGAGATCTTGTGGGTGTCAGTGAAACTCCGGCTACACCTTATTCTTCCATCTCGTCCTCCTCTACGGAGGCGGCCGGTGATGATGATTCAAACAAGAGTAAGAAAGAGAATCAACAGAAGGAGAGTGTTGAAGATGGAGAAAACAGCTCTAAGAAAGAGTAAGTTTAGTGTATGCACAAGATTTTATCTTTTTTCTTACATAAACCCTCATTAATAATTTTAATTTCAATTAAAAAGTGAAAATTTATGCACTTTGTTGTTCATTTCTCATGGAATTTAACTTGATGATTATGTAAAATTAGGGCTAAAGCGAAGAAGAAAGGAGAGAAGAAGAAGCAACGGGTGCCTCGATTTGCTTTCATGACAAAGAGTGAGGTTGATCATTTAGAAGATGGATATAGATGGAGAAAATATGGACAGAAGGCTGTGAAGAATAGTCCTTATCCAAGGTGTGATTCCTTTGATTCATATTAAATTGAGCACTCTTTATTTTGATGCTAAATCATGCATGTAGAAGTAGTCAACACTTAAAAAAAAATATTTATCCATCATTTTCTTACTGATTCAATAAGAAACAAAATTGGGTTTTCCCTAATTAAGTTATTTCACTTCTATTTTAAGTATTCTTCTTCCTCACTACCTTCGTATCTTCGTTTCAAGAGGATAATCGACTCTACAAGTTCTTATTAAATCTTAAACCGTGTATATGAATGCAACTTAAGAAGAATGTTCCAAGTCGCATATCACAAGTGACAGGGACAAGCTATAAACCTAATTTTATGCTCAAGGCGAAAGGGTCCTTATTATCTCCCCAAATTTTATTATTATTATTTTTTGAAATTCGAGTGATTCTAATTAGAAAGGAGGTTTTGGAATTAAGTCTTTCACATCCTATTAAGGGTTTTCCACAAAATTTTTCTAGTTACAAATTGAGATGTGTTGCAACCACTTCAAAAGAATGCATGTAACATCACTGCTTAAGCGACAGCTCAGGTGAATTAACCTGAATAAGCCATGCACTTGGATTTTCCATATGATAAAAATTTCCGTGAGTTCTTGGCATCTTTGACGTAGATGTTTTAGAATAAATTTTTTGAAAAATGTTTTTTTTTTTTTAAGAATGTGTGGTTAACATGACCGGTCCTGGGCAGAGGCAAATGAGGCCTCTGCCTCAGGCGCAATTAAGAAGAGGGCCTCAAATTTTTATTTTTATTTTTTATTTTTTCCCTAAAGAATAAAAAAACTAGATTTAAGGCCAATTTCTTACTTCCTGTTTGCCCTATGTGCATGCGTGCGAGAGAGAATCTACAATTAATTTGTAACCAATTTTAAGTTAGATCTAATAAAAAATCCTATTAATTCTTTTTCGATTTGTGAGTGATATTCTCCAATCTCCAAAAACAAGCTTGCTGCTTCAAGTTTATCCTCCTCTTAGGTTTGTAATTCTATTTTATTTTCTTATATGTGCTTTAAAATTATTCTAGTTTAATTTTATACTCATCATTCATAAGAAAGATAGAAACCTTTCTTGACACTATTTGGGTTGAAAAATTAACAAATCAACAAGTCTGTTCCTTGAATTATTGGGTTCTCTTTAAAAAGAATTGTGCTAATAATCGTGTTAATTTACTTTCCATCGGATATTATAAGACGAAAGAGTTAAATATGTATGTTATTTTTGTCTTTTTTCCTAATTAATATATGATATTAAGTTATATAATTATGATTGATATATGATTATAATGCAACTTTTGAAAATAAACATTATGTAGCTATGTAGATTGATAGATGCTTTGCTATATTTGTGGGTTTCTGTATTACTGAAGTAGAAATTCTTAAGAACTTTCGGATACCTACCACCTCCTATGTCATGTTTGTATGGAAAATTGAATTTATCTAATGCTTCAAGTAAATCATAACTTTTCTTTGATTGTTAGATACCACTTATTTGATTGGGAATTAAATGTTATTTCTCTAGTTTCTTTGTGTTTTGAAGCTTAAATTAGAAATCAAAAGTAATATCGAAATCCTTTTGACACGAAATGGTAGAACGTTGACTGTTTATTATTTAACCGATCATTTGGGACATTGTCAAATTTGTTATTTGATTATAATAAAAATATTTTGTATAATACATTTAGCTTATTGTTTAATAATTGATTTCATAAGACACTGATAAAATTTGCATGCATACTACAATTTTTGGGGCCTAATTTAGGAAGTTCGCCTCAGGCCCTAAAAATCTCAGGATCTACACTGGTGGTTAAAAGTAGAAAACGTTATGGATCCACATACAAAGTTATTTTATTGTAAGAATGTGTGATTAAAATGAGTTTGAAAAATGAGTTTTAAGGATTTTGTAACAAACAATGACTATATCGTATAAAAAATTTTAAACTTTGTATCTTACTTAATGCAGAAGCTACTATAGATGCACGACTCAAAAATGCTCGGTGAAGAAACATGTTGAGAGATCACATCAAGATCCTTCAATTGTGATCACGACGTATGAAGGTCAACACAACCACCTCGTACCATCAAGTCTTAGAGGAAACATTGGTGGAATGCTTCCTCCTTCTTCTATGCTAACATCATCAATACCACTGCACGAAGGAAGCAGTTTTCCAGCACAATTGTTACAGCTTCATCAAATGAGCAATGATCATCTCTACAATTATGGCAGCGCAAATAATGTGTATGATCAGCAAAATTTAGCTGCACTGCACCAGCCTCAACTTCCTGAATATGGGCTTTTGCAAGATATGATTCCCACTTTTTTCCCCAAACAGGAGCCCTAAGAAAATTACAGAATTCTAATCCAGCCTCGAACAAGTTTTATTATTTAAGCTTGTCTTTTGTTCTTTGATTTATTATGCTTTCATGTCACACTTTCATACTCTGATTTGGAGGTTATAAAAAATTCCCTACTTTCTGATTTTGAGGTTATAAAAAATTCCCTACTTATAATGTGTTGTTATATATTAGTACTCTCTAATTGTTTTTAGTGAAATATTACGAGTATTTACTATCTTATCGATATGAACTTAAACTTTCAGACAAAAAGGAAATGACTTTGTCTTGTACATGCATGTACATTCTTAAACTTTTTAAGGAGAATTTCAATAGTTCTTTTAACCCAGTTTGATTTTGCTAAATCAGATTTTTAATATATTTTGATAAAAATTAATTATATGTGTGATTGAAAAGTTGAGAAAGTTATGGAGCATCGCGTGGAATGTATGGTTAAAATTAAAATTAAGTATTGAATTTAATTTAAATTTTTATCAATTTTTTAACTAAATCAAACATGTACTTAATTATAAAAAAAGGTTTCAAAGTCTGCTTTTTTATATTGAATCGCACAAAGGATAAATGAATATGTGTAGAAGCGCATGCGTGCATGCGAAATCTTTTCCATATTGTAATTCAATAATGCTATTTGTACATCATTGAGTATAAATTAATATACAAATTGATGACATGCATGGATGTATACGGGGGGATTGGACTAGGCTGTAGCCTAATCCAATCCAGTCCCTAGCCCGCTTAAAGTTATTTGGTGCAAAAAGAATTTTTATATGTAATTTTTTTAACATATTAAATCGGCTTGTAATTCGATCCTAGATCCGTCTCTGATGACTTGAAAGAGAGAAAAAGATAAAAATGAGAAGGAAAGAAAGTGAAGTTTGTTAACATAATTCACGTTGTCAATATGCACATCAATTTGTATACGATAATGTACAAATAGCGTTAACTCGTCAATATTGTGTAGTATTTAGTTGAGCTTTTAATTATGAAAATATTAATTGAACCTCGTAGCAAGTGCACAAGTATTTTGGTCCAAAAATTTCATTAAAAAATTCAATAAAATTTAAAAAGACAATTTCTAAAACGTGGCCAGAATGAAATTCTCTTCTCCTTTGCCACAATACCCGGGTCGACCAGCTGGTTAGAGTCGACTAAATTGTCTAGAATTGGAACCTTGTTAAAATTCAACGAATACGACGATGTTCTACATAGTCAAGCATATAATTGATGGCTTGGCAAATTATTTTAGAATAATAAATATCCGTACAAATTAGCGGACAGACATTATAGATAGCGCATAGATTGGCAATGATTTAGTTCAATGACGACATTAAGTGGAAATAGCATTAATTTTAGAGTAATTATATTACCACTACATTATTTATTTACCATACCACGTTATAAATACACAACAATTAAAATAAAATTTTAATAAATACACCGAGGTAAATTTACAAATATATTCATAACTCAAATATGAAATAAAAAAGGTGAAATATATTGTACACATTTCATTACTTTTTAGACTTTTGATTCTCTCATCTCTCTCTTCCCCTCAATTATCCACAGGCTTCAATGAAAAAATGAGTCAATCATCCAACTAATATCAACTCTCATCTCTCTTGGTATAAGTTCTCACACGTAGTGATATCCAAAGATAAGATTGTAGGAAAACAAGGCGCTAGTGGATGAAACCAATTGTATAAGTTTTATTCAATTACAATAGCCGACTATTGAAATTAATAACCACAAGGCAAACGATTTCAATTTATGAAAAAAATTTCGTTTCAGAATTTTCCAACGGCTGAAAAAATTGTTTAGCAACACAAAATCAGAAATATAAATTAACTGTAGGCTAAAACTGTAAACGATGAATCTGGACGCTGCACACTATGAAACTACAAACTGCATGAATTAAATAGTAATGCGAAAATAATCTGTAGAAAGAAAACACAAACTACAGCAGGTTTCAAACCGAGGCCTGTGCGTGCACAATTTCCTTAAGACAGTTTCGCCCTCTCACCGTAGGTGCTGGAGGTTTAGTTCGAGCGGCTGTCTCCCAAGATACAACGGTAATAAGCAAAATCCGAGCACCGCGGTCCTACTCCGGCGAACTGATCTAGTATCTGAACAATATCACCACAAGAACAAGACATTACTGGACAAGGAATGCAGAAAAGAAAAAATTGTGTATGCACGAATGTAGGTGAGATTTTCGAGTGTGTTAGACTGCTGGAGAATGAGCCTTTTTATAGGCATACTGCCCATTAATATTGTGAC